CTTACCCATCTCAGGGGTGCAGATCACAACGTTAACCTCCCTTAAGTACCTCCCTTACCATTCTCAGAGGTTAGGATCACTCCACTAATCACCCTTTAGTGCCTCCCTTACGCATATCAGAGATTAGGATAACTCCTCTCTTACCACCACTAATTACCTCCCTTACCCATCTCAGGTGTGTATATCACAACACTTACCTCCCCTAATCACATCCCATACTCATCTCAGGGGTGTGGATCACTCCTTTCTATTCTCCCATAATAACCTCCCTTATCGATCTCAGGAGTGTAGCTCAATTCCGCTTGCCTCCCCTAATTGCCTCCCTTACCCATCTCCGGGTCGTAGATCACTCCTCTTTAACCTCCCCTAATTACCTCCCTTACCCATCTCAGGGGTTTATATCATTTCTCTCGAACCACCCCTAATTACCTCTCTTACCCATCTCTGGAGTTTAGATCACTCCTCCCTAACCTCCCCTAATTATCTCCCTTACCCATATCAGGGGTGTATATCACTCCTCTCGAACCACCCCTAATAACATCCCTTACCCATCTCAGGAGTGAAGATCAAAACACTGACCTCCCTAATAACCCCCCTCACCTATATAAGGGGTGTAGATAACTCCTTTCTAACCTCCCTAATAACCTCCCTTATCGATCTCAGAAGTGTAGCGAAATTCCGCTAACCTCCCCTTATTACCTCCCTTACCCGTCTCCGGGGTGTAGATCACTCCTCTCTAACCTCCCCTAATTGCCTCCCTTACCCATCTCCGGGTCGTAGATCACTCCTCTCTAACCTCTCCTTATTACCTCCCTTACCCATATCAGGGGTTTATATCACTCCTCTCGAACCACCCCTAGCTACCTCCCTTACCCATCTCAGGAGTGTAGATCAAAACACTTACCTCCCTAATAACCTCCCTTACCCATATCAGGGGTGAAGATAACTCCTTTCTAACCTCCCTAATAACCTCCCTTACCGATCTCAGGAGTGTAGCTAAATTCCGCTAACCTCCCCCTATTTCCCCCCTTACCCATCTCAGGGATTTATATCACTTCTCTTGAACCACCCCTAATTACCTCCCTTACCCATCTCCGGGGTGTAGATCACTCCTCTCTAACCTCCCCTAATTGTCTCCCTTACCCATATCAGGGGTGTATATCACTCCTCTCGAACCACCCCTTATTACCTCCCTTACCCATCTCAGGGGTGTAGATCACTTCTTTCTATCCTCCCATAATAACCTCCCTTACCGATCTCAGAAGTGTAGCTAAATTCCGCTAACCTCCCCTTATTACCTCCCTTACCCATCTCAGGGGTTTATATCACTTCTCTCGAACCACCCCTAATTACCTCCCTTACCCATCTCCGGGATGTAGATCACTCCTCTCTAACCTCCCCTAATTGTCTCCCTTACCCATATCAGGGGTGTATATCACTCCTCTCGAACCACCCCTTATTACCTCCCTTACCCATATCAGGGGTGTATATCACAACACTTATCTCCCCTAATTAGCCCCCTTACCAATCTCAGGGGTGTAGATCACTCCTTTCTATCCTCCCATAATAACCTCCCTTACCGATCTCAGGAGTGTAGCTAAATTCCGCTAACCTCCCCTTATTACCTCCCTTACCAATCGCCCTGCTGCACGTCATTCCCACACATGTCAGAGCCTATAGCGTACAGATGAAGACGTAAAAACACACTCACATACACTTGATTCAAAAATAGTTTAGTGATACACCTAAAAGCTGTTTCATCAGACACAATGATGCGTTCATTTTTGATAACAGGTTAATACATAAAAGAAACGAAACGTTCTTTTCATCTAAGACCAATGAAAATAGTGTCTGTGGCCACTAGGTCCTCTCTGAAGTTCCGACCTTGAGCCCTGAAGGTGAGAGGTTCAATCCAAGGAGGAACCATACGAAATACATCATGAATTTGTGTCAAGTAGGGGCCTCATTTATGGGTAAGTTGTTGTTTAATTATTTGCCCCATGACAGTATTTTGTAGCCAAGTCGGCACTATACAGAATTAATATGTGTAATGGACATCTTCAGTGGTGAAACGAACATCTAGTATGTTCCGTACCAGCCAATCTTCGAACATAGCTTCTATTGCAGAAATTGTTCCGAAAACTGTTGATCTTTCATATACCATGTGTGTATATATTATGTATATTCTAATTTCCGGATTGTTTTTGTGTGCGTACAGTGTTTGTTCCTATTCTTACATAATAGGTTATGCATGACTTCACATACTGTTCATGGAACATGCCAGCAACTAAAGTTTATGTTGCAAGAGGCCATAGGGGCTTATATGCAACAGCGCCAAGTTAATCCAGACGCGCTAGTTAACGGTTATAATTCCGACTGTACCGTATTAATTAACCCGTTGTTGAAGTGGACCAACCTCAGAATAATGATCCTTCTAATTTCAATGTTTAACGCGTAGACATTCGTATGATTGCATATATTATTTAATGATGTCCACTATGAATCCTTGAACATTTTAAAATTATTTTCAATTTAAATGATCATGAAATATTAACGATCCAATCTTTACAGATTAATTGTATATTTTCGGAAACTTGTTTTTTTGCAACTGTTTTATCTTTCGAATGATTTATGGTTATTGGTTGGAAAGTTAGTAAGAACAATTGATAAAAATGGTGTTCCGTTGTTTGAGATACTGTACAACCGTATCTTAATTCCGGATCTACTTTCCTCGTTGATATTTTTGTTATCTGGAAAAGGGTTAATTTTGGCATTGAACCCTGGTGTAGTTTACGGGTGGACTATGTTACAGAGGTGAATCACTGACCTTGAACCCTGGTGTAGGTTACGGGTGGATTATGTTACAGAGGTGAAACACTAACCTTGAACCCTGGTGTAGTTTACTGGTGGGGTGGACTATGTTACAGAGGTGAATCACTGTGACCTTTAACCCTGGTGTAGTTTACGGGTGGTGGACTCTGCAACAGAGGTTAGTCACTGACCTTAAACCCTGGTGTAGTTTACGGGTGGTGGACTCTGCAACAGAGGTGAATCACTGACCTTGAACCCTGGTGTAGTTTACGTGTAGACTCTGTTACAGAGGTGAATCACTGTGACCCTGAACCCTGGTGTAGTTTACGGGTGGACTCTGTTACAGAGGTAAATCACTGTGACAGTGAACCCTGGTTAAGGTTACGGGTTGATTCTGTTACAGAGGTGAATCACTAACATTAAACCCTGGTGTAGTTTACGGGTAGACTCTGCAACAGAGGTGAATCACTGACCTTGAACCCTGGTGTAGTTTACGGGTGGACTCTGTTACAGAGGTAAATCACTGTGGCTACGGGTTGATTCTGTTACAGAGATGAATCACTGTGACCTTGAACCCTGGTGTAGTTTACGGGTAGACTCTGTTACAGAGGTGAATCACTGTGACCTTGAACCCTGGTGTAGTGCACGTGTAGACTCTGTTACAGAGGTGAATCATTTACCTTGAACCCTGGTGTAGTTTACGAGTAGACTCTGTTACAGAGGTGAATCACTGTGACCTTGAACCCTGGTGTAGTTTACGGGTGGACTCTGTTACAGAGGTAAATCACTGTGGCTACGGGTTGATTCTGTTACAGAGATGAATCACTGTGACCTTGAACCCTGGTGTAGTTTACGGGTAGACTCTGTTACAGAGGTGAATCACTGTGACCTTGAACCCTGGTGTAGTTTACGGGTGGACTGTGTAACAGAGGTGACCCACAGTGACATTGCAACCTGTAGGTGTAGTTTTTGTCGGAATCTTCGGATTCTGGAGTAAGGTATGAGTCACTGTGCGATGGAATCTGTTGTATTTTACGTCTGCATCTTGGACAGACATTGACCTGTAGCCCAGAAGTACTGTTTACTGTACAGGATAATAAGAGTGTTGGAAAGCTATGAGCCAGCGTGGCCTTTAAACCTGACGCAGTTTATGTCTGGTAATATGAAATAAAACATGGACTTAATTAAAAGGGTGAGTTACCTTACCTATGGTATATTCGCTACATTATAACTACATCTTAACCAAATTATGTCTTCAACCAATGAGGGTCAACTTTCCTCCCCCGACTTCATTATCTTAATGACTTTGAACTCGTTCCTCCCTATCAACCTTCACTACATAGCAAACACACGTGCATAATTAAGTCATTACTCTGCAAACGCCCTCAACAAATTGCAGGAGCAGTGTTCGGTTTTGGACCAGAATATAAAAAAAAGAAGAAGCCCGTACTGACAGTGTTAGGACTGAGTTTACGATAGAACCCGTGTGTGTGTTGGCATATGGTCACTGGCATAGAAGGGGTATGGGGTTAACACTAACCTTCCTACGCTCGTCTAAACGGACTTGTTAGCTTAACTTTGCAAGTGTTTACTCTTTATAATCATCGTTAATCAAATACAACGTCAGGATGACTTTCAAAATCATCGATTCGTTGCGTATTGACCGACCTTTTCTACAAATGAACATATATTTTTTTTCACAACTGATTCGTCTATAACATTGTAGACAGAAATCTTCAATACTATGTTAAGTTAAATAAGCATTTTGTCAGTTTTGGATTGTAGACGTGTATATAAATGAATGTATTATTTTTCTACACGTTCAATTAAATCCGAGAATGTTGGAATCACCCTCCGAAGTCGTACGCTGAAGCAGCAGCGGCAGCAGCAGACACAGGTAGACGGGGATGTCACGACAATGTTTGCTGTAGAAGATCACCACCGGTGATACAGGGAGTTTATTCTTGCTGTAATTGCAGGCTGCCCTCGACAGTTAAAAAACCCTATATAACCACGCAGTACGTTGCTCTGTGGAATGATGGGCCGCCTGGCAACATGGCCTTATAATATGATATTAGCGAATGATAAAATGTTATCAATAAAATTAGGCTCAGTATCGGAGTGAGAACTATTATTGCTGGGACACAGTGTCATACGGCGGCACGCGGGGGTTCCAATCATCAGTTCAAGCGCGTGGAGCGCGCGCGCGACATCTATCCTAGTCTCTGGACTGATCGGTCGGTGATCGATACCATTTCGATATTGAAATCAATACACCTTCACTACTGCTGTCACCATAACGCGGAGACACACTCGCTAGAATAGAGGGACGAGTGTGTTGTATCTCTGCGCTAGTGTGTTATGAGGCGAAATGAATTAAAAAAGTCGTCACTGTGATCGAGACACGAAAAACGCTTACAATCGATTGGAGGAAAACACAGCGCTCATCTGTTAACGCTAAAACAGTGTGTTACCGGCAATGGTAGACGTGAGACGTGTGTCGTTACAATGACGGAAATGGGTGTAGACGAGACAGACGACAAGGATTCTCATCACCAAATCGTCGAATGTCCATATGTCATCTACCATTGCTTTCATCGCGTGTTGTACACGGCAATGACACCTATACAATGCTCACCGTAGTCAGTTTTAAATCAGTGCTTTTAGTTGCACAGAAATTTCAACGGTAGATGAATTTATTTTTGTCATCAACCTTTACCTTACACGACCAAAATGTTGTGTGCTTTAGTGAAAAGCACGTGCGTTTGTTTATATTCGGTGTAGTGCAATAGTGCGAGGATGACGAATCGGAAAGGATTTTTAGCTCAACAAAATACATTTTTGGATACCATAGCAACCCGGTTCGACGGTACCCGTAAGTACAAATATCATTTCAATTCTTATTTTCATATTTCTTTGGGTGTTTTTTTGTCTGTGTTAGTCATATATTGCCTTTAGGGTTAGTGAAGAGGAACCCGTAACACCGGGAGGGGTTAAAAGTCATTTTTGGCAAGTAGAGCCCCATGTCAAGTGCGCCGTTACGGTTAGAGTGCGCGCACGTGCGTTTTATAAACTATGCCGTAGAGGCTTTTAGCCAACACAAATACCTTTATACTATTAAAATATACAAATAACCACCAATCCGGCTCTACATATGATGAGGATATATATAACATCACTTTTAGTTTGAGATGAAAATAGAGTACGATAATAACTGCTATATGACGTGCATTAATAGACTTTTAATGTTTCGTGTAAATAATTGCCGTTTACCTATACATCTTGTGTACGACGACGTCAGCAGTTCTTGGTTGTTTTTGTCTTTGTAAATAGGAACCGCTAGTGTACCGTAAACCGTTATTATGTGTAGTAATCTAAGTAATTGTGGTGCTGTGTATTTCGACGAAAAACTTTACAGCATGTTTACGTTAGTACTTGGATAGCGGCCTGTCGATCACGTGGTTTACATACTAGTTCACGATAAACAGTATACAAATAGGGCCTTGTATGTAAATCGTAAATATTGTTTACGAATTCATTTGAGTGACCAAAAATATTCGTCTTTCAAAGACGTGAATCAACATAATGGCGTTGACATTTTCGCATGTTTAAACATGCATTATTCACATGTAAAGGGTTAAAATCGTATAATATTTCACTCAAGTGGAAGAAAATGCCAATAATTTAATTTATAATTAAATGGACAAAGTAGCTTTCTAACTGATAAGTGTCATCATGAAGAAAAAACAACAGCACTACTTAAGGAAAATAGGTTTCTATTTTTTTTTTAAATTTGTAAATTTGATTTACGTTTTATTATTCTTCCAGACAGCTTAAACTTATATTAAGTCATATACTTGCGTTTTGTCAAACATCAACGATCGGGCGCACGTGAGACCCATCTAACGCGAGTTAACCTTCATGTATACGAGACGCGATGGAATTGAGCAAGTTACGGCCCCCATGACGCTTGTCATCTGTCAACGCAGTAACTGGCTCCAGAACGCTTGTGATGTTGTATGGCCTACAAGGAAATGTCAGTATTGTCATTGTAACGTGCAATGTACGTGCATATTCTGCAAGCAAAAACCTCGTGCAATTCGTATTCAGTGATATGAATTAATATTTGTCATCTGTAATGTTCTCTGTGCTTGCAATATGCTGATTTTTGTATCTGCTGCTTTGTTAATGATGTGTTCATGTATGGAATACAAAACGAATGTGCATACATCACGTGCAACGACCGTTTGCACGTTTGTTTCGAATTCAACGGCCTCGCAACAGCTAGGTTTACATGCAGTACCGTATGTGCTGAATGCTTGTTTTTATCCACTATAACCGACATGACATTGGGATTAAAGTTTAGAACGGCATGCACATTGCATCGTCATTGACTTCGTATTAAAAAAAACCGATGCAAAGCGCTGTCAGCGTAAGAAAGAACGACATATACCGTATGTGGTGGAGGTTACTCAGTTAAATGAAGCACACAGTGAATGCTGCCATACATACAATGAACAATTACATTCATATTCTGTCGTCTGGGATACCAATTAAATGAAGCAAAATGCAAAGCATATCATTCGATATGGGTCCCGATGGCAATTTCAAATTCTACATCATATTTCTAATTAGACTAAAACGAAGCAGAATGCAAACACTGGTCGAACCATACCGACACGAACACCCATTATACTTGGCCATAATCCGCCACTAACGACATAGTGACGGCTGTTAGAAGTTTTAAGCCTTCTTCCTTTCGAGACTCTATTCGGATTTGCTGAAATTAGATTTTGCATTGGAAACCTTTCGTAATGATACAAGCTATATAGTCATCCATAGTGACAGACTATCCTACCCTTCAGGACCGTTGCTTGGAGCGTTCTTACAAAAAGCCACTCGGTATATACAGTTACATAAAAAATAAAAAGAATTTGCCACACATAACATTAAGGTTTTTGTACAAGATGCGACGGCTTCAGGTTTCAGAAAGTCATGGGCCTCAGAAATCCGCTCCGTATCAAGCATAATTTTCCGCAATACAACCCGTGCCCGCCATTAGGCCGGGTCGAAATAGCTCTTTGCACATCTGACGTTTCGCTGTGGACGTCAATACTGATATTTCGACATGAAGAAATTGGGAAATACTGTTCAAACGTAGCATGCTGTCATACATGAAACAGGCAAACATTGACGATGCCTTCTCAAAACTTTCATTTGTATCCTACATTTGGAATGTTAGAAATATTATATTTCATTTGTTTGAAGAAAAAAAAACATTTAGTTAAACAAATTACGAGTACTGATTTTCAAAAGAAACACGCTGGTATGTCTTAACCATTGGCATTTCATATATTGATAATAATTTTGAACTCGCTAATTTCAGTCGTCCAAAAATACCTCATGTATTGTATTAAATAACAGGACTTTGTAGACACATGTGATCAATACACGCATTACACAACCGCCTGCCTTACTACATGTACATCTGTGACAGCAAATGTCACCGGGCTTGACTTTAATAAATTCTAATATTTTTCAGATGAAATTCCGACGCTTGCGGCTAAAATTCATCAAGTTTATTAATTAAAACTGACAACGATGTTTACGCAGCTGTGAACTCGATGTTTTCTGTACGATTTTACAAACATTATTTTATAAACGACATTGGTGGTTCTCGACGCTTAGTGTTCAACTTTTTCTGTGAGATGTATAAACGAGGCATACAATTGTACGTCTGTAGGTTGGAGGCCCGGTGAGATATAACAACGGCAAACAATGAACATTTAGCCGTCTTTATCAAAGACGCCTACCTAGTGGCGTTAACTTGTTGTTGAACTTAATGCATCGATGATATGCTATTTCATTAAAGAATTAACCATTTGGATATACAATGTATTAATAAATTTAAAAATGAATTTGAAATTGAGGTCTTTTGATAATATTTATATAATGATTTTTTTCGCTGCTGTCGTTGTTGCTGCTGAAATGTTGCTACAGGATTTCGTTTTTGTTTTTTACGGAATAGTGTTTCAATTATTATCTGCTGAAACCCGTGTTGTCTACTTCACCATTGAAGCATTTAAACAATTTTGTGCTAAAAGCAATTACTTTTTTTATTTCCTATCTTGTTCGACAGTGTCTTGAAAACAGAAATTTGAAGAATATTTCATTTTATAATATTGACATTATTGCGAAAGACTATCTCAAAATTTTCATTTACTGATTTGCTGAGTTTCCGGACATAAAGTAATATGATATAATAAAAACGTAAATCATCACTCAAATGGTGGAATATCGATACCACATATTTATTTTAAAATGTTGATTTTCCTGATTTTGGTTTTAATAAATACAATGTAAAGTGTGTAACCTCACAGCGGTCATATAATTAAAACATATTTGTATAGAACAAATTATATCCAATTAAAATTTGGAATTAGTGAATGGTTTCCGATATGTAGAGAATGGCGCTTGGACGAGGTCGTTTTTGCAATGCACATTGTGCATTCATAGTTACTGAAACACGCAGACCAGCATTATTAATAATGCAAAGCAGGTCACTACCCTTTATAGTGAAACACTATATATTAGACTGCGTTGACCTTCAGTCAGCAAGAACTGATTGGAAATCAATATAACAAGTATTTAATCACTTTTTTTAACCCTAAAATAAATGCCTCCACTGTTCTCCACTATCTACAAGCTTCCAGTCTATTCCGTCAGATATAAGTAACCCTTACTGCCAAGTATGTCAGTGTTTTAATCACCTTTAACATGCCTTTATCAATAATATGTTAATCTAATAACTGTTTTAGATTGAAGGGCTTTATGTTATAAAATAAGGACTTTTTTTCTCTCTTTTCGTCATATTCATTAACGATCATTTTCTTGTTATTCCTACGATCTTTTGTTTTCCAAGTTTATCATTGTTTTCTATTGTCAATAGTACTGTCATGCCATGTTCGTCAATTTAATTAACATCAATCATCTGTGTGGCTGCCAGCCGTAGGTACTGTATACATACCTTTATGTAATAAGGCCCATGACAGTAACATATAGTAATTCCTCTAACTGTGCTCATTGCACGATCGTAATGACGATACATATCTACTCATTTGCGTTCAACCGTATAGATAGTACGCCAAGTAATTAACAAATGGTTTGAAACGAGCGCACGCGCGTGTGTGTGTCCTTCGGCGTTAAGATGTGAAGTATACGATGCTCCTATGAACGTTAGATAGGCTGCTCGTGTAATAAAAGTGCAATAAATGTAATGAGTGTCCTGGGTAAGTTGAGGAGCAATTAAACAAACATTGTTATTATGTTTCTACACGGCAATAATCGCTGGAAACATTACAAACTTGCTTCATGCCATGTGGGTCTGTATTTTCGTCATGAACGTTAGTTTTAGTTTGAAAGGATTTTGTCAGACGTTAGCAGATGAAGTTCAAGTGTAAAAAAAAAGTAGAATTGTTACGGGGTTATATAATTTTATAACGATTCCCATCATACTGGAGAGTAGTTATTAACAATATGAAATACCATGACCGGAAACTTAGTTGATAAACTCACTGTTTTTAGTCCCCGTTGAGATGTGATTTAAAGGAGGAAATTATGACTTGCATCTCTGCTTTTGCTATAGAGTAAACGACCAAGCTAGTCAGACAAATCCGAACAAATTGTAAGTCTCGTTGGAGATATAAAACAGAGCTCTGTGATTCTCTACCTTATCATGATACATAACAAGTACAATAGATATTATTTTTTTCAGATATTTTTATGTTTTCATATTTTTTTTATTTTTTTTTTAATGGTTTTACGTCCTTTATCATATTAGTACTGTGTTCAGTATTAATGACTAATATATACAAG